CCGGTTCTCAGAACAGAGTTGGTTTCGCGAGCTATTATTTACTTTGGAATTTTTTATATATATATATTTTGGTTTCATCTATGTTTTTATTTGGTGTCAACATCTGATTTCATCTCTTGTATCAGAATTTTGATGTAAATTAAAGTAGTGACAGTTTGATATTAAATAGGTCTTTCAAAATTTACTATATTTTGATGTACTGTTGCAATTATATTTGTAAGACTCTACGTCCGATGTTGAGTTACTCACACCAATATACTTGATTTTTACAGCGTCCACCGGCAACACCATCAACATCGATCAAAGTAAATGCAGCGTCATCATTTCTTTTCACTTCCGTTGAATTTGCTTCCTTCGGTGTCTATTTTTATTGCCGCAGAACGGCGACTTAACGAACAGGCCCATGATTTGAGATTCAACAAATCAAAAGGAGGAAGGCATACGACACTTGCATCTGACGCAAGTATTATTATTATTCATCCGTTTGGCACGTCTTGGGTTTCTTAGGTGACGTATTCAATCTATTTTTTGTTTACTGTCAGATTTCCCATATATCCGGTTATGTTCGATTTTTCTTTCATGAGTGTATGTAAATCAAATTCAAATCCATGTCGAGTTGTTTTCTTATCCTTGTTAATTTTCGTGTTTTTGGTAACATTTATGGCTCCGGAAACCCTGTATAATTTGATGGGCTTTAAATAAACCTTATGACGAGAGGAAAAAAAAAACAGAAGAGAATTATTTTGGGTTGTGTAGGCCCAATTAAGGCCCAGAAATAAGAATAAGGTTAATATATAAATGGCCAAACCCTAGATTGACCTCCGCCAAAAATTTGGAAGAACAGCTTTTGAGGAGGAGGAAGGAGACAATGGTGCCCTGGCTAGAAACAGAAGAGGGTCAGTCGAACTATATGAAACTACTTAGGAAAAACGAGGTAATGTTCTCTCATCTCATCTACATACGTACGTACGTATTTGTTGTTCATTATTATTATTTTCTTGAAGAGATTGATTGATTCTCAATTTTTTACTACAAATATTTTGCTCTTCTCTCTCTCTCAGGGATTCGATGGCACTAATGTTCTACTACCATGCAGCCGTTTTAGACTAAGGGCAAACATATGTAATGATCCCTATTCTCCTTGTCCTGCCCTAGTCACCCTCTATGCTAGGATGGCCATTCATCGTTTCAATTTGCTCGAGGTGAATTAAACTACTAGTAGCGTAGTAGCCTAGTGATGATTCTACTTTCCATTACATTACATGATCGAGAGAGGTAACTTGGTTTTTTTTTTTTTTTGTGCTTTGATCAATAATCAATTTAGGGGAAAAACTTAGAGTTCATTCGCGTAGCCAAGTACAACAAATCCTTAGGTTCTCGTGCAGTTTCCGATTACTACTTATCTGTGGATGCCAAGGATCCATCTATCAATTGGGTTCAAACTTTTCAGACTACAGTTTCTGAACATAATTTTGGCAAATTGATTTTGACGTGCAATTTTGATAGGCCTCATGGTAAGTAAACTTAATTAAAAAAAAAAAATAATAGTGGGTAGCTATATTATTAATTACTTTGTATACAACAAAAGTCACACTTGGATTAAATTAATTTGAACTTGGTATTTAGGGGAAACCAAGACAAGCGACATATGTGAGATCAAGAGAAGCGGTCCTGAAAGAGTGGTGGATTACCATTTAGTCTCTGATTACATGCCTAAGTTACTGCCACAGAATCCTTTCCAAAATACAGAGCAGCGGTTTTACGTGGTAAGATTCATCCACACTTGGCCGTGAGTTTAATTTGATCAACCAAAAAACTTGTTGTAGTAGTAGTTATATATGTTTTGCTTCTTCTTCTTGTTGCAGCTGAAGAAATCAGAGGTGCAAGACAATGACTGGATTCGTCTTTATGTGGAACTTGCAGTCGCCACAACTAAGAGGAACTCTATGGATATTCCTGATCTATCGAATTTGGAGATTCTGGAAGTGGCTGTAGAATCCATTCAAGACTGGCCAAGTGTGGGACTTGGCAATGTCTTTTGTGACGCAATTTTCTACATAAGGTACAAGGACGGGTGCAATGTTGATCGCAATGTTGATCGCATTGCTATGGTCAGAAGAATCTGCGATGAGCGCAAGGGATGCTTGAGTCTCTTGGGTCGGATAAAGAGAAAAAAGGATACGAAGCTGAGTCAGAGCTCAGAAACTGTTTTAGTCAAAAAGGCTAAGAATCTGCGGTTATCTAGTCCGAGGCGGACGCAACGCAGACCAAAACCGTTGCCTTGCCTTGGCTCAGCTCGTCCTCTGCACAAGACTCAATTCCATTTGAATATCCATCGATGGTCGACTAACTAACTTATTTTGGTGCTAAGTTGATAATGTGGAGTTTAACCGTTTTCTGCTTGAATAACATAAACTATGGTAAGTGTAAGCTCAGACGTCTCGGGGATTCAATTCTAGTTTTTTTTTTTTTCTCGTCAACTTATATCATGAACAATCCAAGAAAACAACATAAGGATTAGGTTTTCGGTTTTAGAATCTCCAATATATTAAAGTGGAAGCACTATTAGACACTTGGCAGCTCTAGGATTAAAGTTGGTATTTAGCTACATTATTAATTCGTTTAATTTTAATTCTACTACTATCTCTATAGCCAAACAGACCGTTATTTCCTAAATCACATTTAACTGCAATAAATTTTTCAAAAACGTCTTCTTCATATATTTTAAAATATTTTCGAATATTCAACATTAAATTCCTTCGTTCCTATAATTTCTAAAGATTAATATATTCCTAGAGGAAATTCCTAAACAACTAATAGCAATATTTTAAAATTCAAACGGATGAAGTAAGTTTCTATATTTTGGCATATTCTACATTGAATTCTTTGGTTCCTATATTTCCGAAACGTAATATTTTTCTAGATACATGTTTTCAAACTTTATTTATCAATAATTAAAACTTTCAACGGATTAAGTAAGTATCTATATATTTACGCATTTCTAAATTTTAAAATCTCAACCTAAATCTTCTGCAATTTCAAAACAACTAATATATATCCATATTGGTTACTCAAATTGCGGAAGATATATATTTATTCCTAAACGAAAATGACCGCGATCCTTGGATTATATTAACAAGAAGAAAATTCTAAATTTGAAATATTTAACCTAGCTCTACCATGTTCTCTCAATACCGTATATATATAGGTATACGTTTCTCCAATAGTTCATCCTCCCTCACCTTTCAATAAATTTCTGAATATCAAATTTATTTTTGCTACTATGTCTTCTTTCACCGATCTCTATTCCGTGAAGCCCTTCAAAACTCAATGGAGAGTTTACGTGAAGATATTGAAGGTCTGGAAACAATATTTGAATGGTGTAGAGACGTTGGAAATGGTTGTTGTTGATGAGAAGGTATACTATCTATGTTACTTTTGAGGTTTTGTACTAATCTATATATTTCACGACTGTTTTCATTTATTTTTATTTTTATTCAAACCTATGTATCTTTAAAGTATGCATATTCTTTTATATATACACAGAATCAAACCATGCATGTAACTTTGAAGGAGGAGTTCATCAAGAAAAATGAAAATCTGTTAGAGGAAGGTGCCTCTAGAATTATCACAAATTTTCAAGTGGCTCATAACGGTGGTAAGTTCAGGACCAGCCCTCACGTTTACAAAATCCTTTTCGCATCAACTACATCTGTCAAACCGGCAGAAGAAATGGATCCAAGAATCTTAGGTTTCAAGTTTGTCAAGTTTAGTGATATTCACGAAGGCAAAATGAATCCAGATTTCTTGATAGGCAAGTTTGTTTAATTACTAAATTATTTATTTGATATATAGTTTGTTTGCGTAATTATAAAGTACTAATATGATTTCTTTTATTTTAGATGCTATTGGACAAATTGTGAGTATTGGGGATGTGGAAATCTTGAATGTTGGAAAGAGACAGACAAAGAGGCTTTCTATGGAGATCCGTGATACATAGTTAGCATTTACCTTACTAATCTAACACTAATGCTCTATATATTGGAGATTTATGTATATTATCCTTTTCTTCAATTTCCTTTATCGTTTTCAATGTAGAAATGTTCGACTTAATGTTCTTTGGGGACAATTCGCTGAAAATCTTGAAAGTGTGGCTCAACATGCTAATGATGCTGTGATTGTTGCTGTTTTGCGGTTTGGAAAGTTAAAACTTTATCAAGGTGTTTGGAGTGTTGGCAATTGCTACAACTGTTCAATGGTTATTACTGATCCAGTCTTCCCAGAGAGTTTGGCTTTTAAAGAGAGGTAAAACTAATTATATTCATAATTTTATTTATTTATCAAGTTTTATATTCTAAATATTATGTAATCTAATTTACACAGATTACCAAAAGATGGTTTAACCCTGACCTATACTCATCCAAATCAGTTGACTATTGTCAATTCTGTATCAGTAAGGGACGATTTCTTCTTGCATAGTCCTCGAAGGACTATTAGCGAAATTATTGCTGCTTCTGAGGTAATTATATATTATGTCAGTTCAATTTTTATAACATATATTTGATTCTAATATCATTATTAATTTTTAAGGTTGTCAAATGTGTTACAATGGCCACAATTATGTCTATTGACTGTTTTATAACAAAGATATGATCAATATCAAATATTCTCTGCTGCTTTATAATTGATTTGAAAATACAATGACACAAAACTGTTTTCCTTTTATGTTTTCAATACATATATTGAGTGGCTGTGTAAGTTCCTTTTTCGATATGATAAAATATATTGTTTATATCGATGACATATTTGGATGTTTTGAATAAAATAATATATCTTAAATTTGAATAGAAATCTGAAGACATTATTGTTTCGTAGATAAGAGAGATCTCATTACCCACTTTTTCAAACTTTTAGTTACTATTTTCTAGAACCAAAAAAGCTCTCTCGCATATACTTCAATGGAAGACTATGACCTAATTTTAGATCTGCATTGTGACCAAAAAAATTGGACTATAAGATGCAAAGTTTTGAAGAAATGGCATGTCAAATATCCAAGAGAACGTCCATCTTTACAGTTTCTGTTGATGGATGAAGAGGTATTTAGTTTGTATTTATTCACTTATCTTTTAAACTTTATGTTATACTATTTAACAAGGTTTTTGTATTATATAAATTACTAATACATACAGGGTGAAACTATTCAAGCTTATCTCTATATTACCGATTTAATTAAATCATTCGACAAGACAATTGAAGAGGGTGAATGGAAATGTTTTTCTGAATTCGTGGTCTTTGATGATACATCGGATGAACCAAATTCTCCTATTGGTAGTTGTATCCGGTTTATAAATAACACAGAAGTAGAAGACATAGATCCTCTCGGTGTTGAAATTGTACAAGATTTTGTTTCATTTTCTGATGTGCATGGTGATAAAACAGAGTCTGGTCTTCCTATCGGTATATTTTTGCCTTTACTTAGTAATTTTATTTTAGACTAAAGTTTCATTTATTTATAAAGTTCAATTTGAAAATTTTATTTTTCAGATATTCACGGTTTTGTTATCAGTATTGATCATCTGGTCACTGTAAATGATGATTCCTACCCTGAGAGACATGATAAGAAGACTACCAGTATATCATTCACTTTGAAGGATTACAAGTAAACTCAATTTGTTCTTTTTCATTTTTACCATTTTCTCTATCTGTTTAAATATTCTGTTTATTTGTTCATATTAAAATTTGAAATTTCTATGTAGGGGGTTATTGTTATCGTGTGTTGCATTAGGACCACTTGCACTTGATTTTAATGACAAGATTTTCAGTGAGGAACAATTACCATTTGATGTTATGTTAACCGACTGGTCTGTTAAACAAGGAGAAGGTTAGTTTTTGTATATCAATAATATTGATTAATTAATTAATGTTGAATAGTTTTGTATATGAAAATAACAAATCTATTATTTTCCTAGATGGATACTAGAGTTTCATCCTGACTGTCCGAAAGCTAAAACTTTGGTTAAAAGGTAAATTGTTATAGGCAGTCACATTATAATTTAATAAAATATGTAGCTTTTTGAATTACTGCTTACATGAATTTATTTATCTGCAGGTTTTGGAATAACCAAAATAAACCTACCAATGTCATTGATTTGGGTAGTAACGATGATGATGCAAGTCCATCTTCCGTGAAGAGTAGAGACTGATTGAATTCAAAATTTATTATCTTTGTATAATTCTATACTTTTGAATTATGGTATTGGTTTCTATGATTTTATCTACAATGAATATTATGTGTTGTTTTAAATATTGGATATTCTTACTTTTTATGACTTTACTATGAGATATGTAGTAACCATATTTAATCTATTATGTTTAAAATGTGTGATTTTTTACTACTACATGTTTTCAAATATGATATTGAATCTTAAATATAGTGGTTTAACGTTCAGTTAAACTTACTATAGAGTCGTAATTGCATATGTATTCGTATTATAATGTTTGGAAAAATCAAGAACGCAAAATCACGCTTAGAAAAATTCAAGTCAAAGCTTCTATTTAAAAATTTAGTAACAACTACTTTAATATCGTTTGGTAGTTGGTTTGTTGCTGAATACTTAAATTTATGACCTGTGCATGCAAAGTTAAGATATTGAATTGATTTGATCGATATCTGATTGCAGCTTTTATTAAGTGCTATTTTCATACATATATATTTTTGCATGTATATATTTAGATTGAGGAAACTTTACAAACATAAAGATCACTTTTCAAAGTTCATATCTATATATACTTATACAGTAATTACATCTGCCTTTTAAATTTTTAATATATTAATTACTAATACTATAGTATATGATTTATAAGTATTGTAGGAAATAAAAATATTCGCCACATTTATAAGTTTATATCCCTTGGATTCGCAACATATAGTTTATGAAGTGTACAAACATGAATAAATATGGTAGTTAAAAGTTTGCATAAATATTCATGTGATTTGATAGGAGTATACTTATATCTTTACATCTGTAACTTCCTTTTTATGCACTCGGAATATAAACAGAGACATCTACTGACATCTTACACCGATTGAAATATATTCGGTGAACTTATTCCTTTTTTAACAAATTAAATGAACCATTTTTGTATTTACTACACTTAAATGTTTACAAACAATCGCGACTTTAGAGTAGTTAACCGTCTATGTCTTATATATATATAAGGAACTATTTTCTTCCATAACTTCATACTTCACAAAGAGAAAACCTAGAAATTAAACATCAATATCTCTGAGTAAAAAAGATGGCCGAATATTAAATGGTTAGTGATTTAACACCATGGGAGGAATACAAGCAAACCATCAAAGTGAAAGTTCTCAAGCGTTGGGAGACTGTTGATTCAAACGGGAAGGATGGGATGTATTTCATCCTGGTTGATGAAAGTGTAAGTTTTGTGTTTTCAAAATAAGTTATTTTTTCTTGCAAAGCCTTTTTGTTATGTATT